AAAACTTTGTTTACAAGACTGCTCAGATGATATATCTAAGTTGGTTAAGACCACCATTTATATATTTTGCATTCAAATAAGTTCTCGATGGGCGAAGTGCAAAAGAACACAGGAACGTTTCCTGGAACTCTACTCATCCTGGTAGTGGAAGAAAGCAAAAAATATATCTGAAAAAATTCTGCGGTACATGGTGATGCAATAATTCAGTCAAGTGTGCTTCCAATTGGACAACTCTCTGAAGAAGCGCAAGAGACTAGAAATAAAGACAATAGATGTTACAGGGAAAATTTATCATGCTGCATTTATCAACTTTTCCGTTAACAAGGCCCTGTATAAGTTTTTCCGCAGAAAAATCGCCAGTTTTTCGCGTAGCATTACACAACATTCTCTCTACTGCGTAAGCTGTAGCGAGAAAGTAAAAAAAAATTTTTTTAATTCTTGGACGCGGTGTAACCAGAATCAATGTATTGTCCATTGATACCGAAAAATCGAATGATGGCAAAACGTGCGCCAGCCGGCTGACGGGGAAAAACAATAGCTCCTAAACTATGCGTAACGTACATGTAAGTGTATTTCTGATGGTGAGCTGTTGATACCGACACTTGGTGAACTTGATTTTTGCGATAATTTTTAACGTGATAATTACGTCGTAATTATAAATATCAGTATTGCATGAAAATATGTTCCCATCGTTAAGTCACTTTTGACACATATTACAGATTCGTAAATATATAGGCAAGATCCCAAGCTCAATGAAGAGAGGCTTGCAGGGATCACCAGGATGGCATGTGCTCATTATTCGAATAATTTTCTTTTGCAATCTGAAGGACTGAGTACTACAGGATGAGTGATCAGAGCTGTCCGGGTGACGCCGCGTCGAAGGCTGAGTTGCCGACGTTTCGACCATCCTGTCGTGGTCTTCCTCAGGGCTGGTATGGGCCTCAAATAACTTAAAATAAACATTTTCAAAAATTCAAAAGATTTGTGAAAAAAAGAGTATTTGCAGTAATGCTTACAACATTTTTTCCATACACAGCTTCAAATATATCAACGCAAATTTTTTTATATGATGTTTATCTCAATAATTTAAGTTATATTTCAGTTCTATTAAGAAACAATGAAGCAAATTTAAAATATTTGACATTGCGTCCTTATTTCGCACACACGTTTAGAAGCATTACACTTTATTCTAAATGTAAGCACAAATTTCAAATAAATTAGACTGTTTTATAGAGCATCATGTTGTCGCGATATGGCTTTCCGGCCCTCGCGACACGCTGCCGTCGGCAAGTAACCAGTTGTCATTTGCCGACGCCAGCGTTCCGAGGCTATAAAATGCGAGGACTTCGCACCTCCCCCTCCCCTTATTACACGTCAATCTGCCGGAGCCAGCCGGAGCCATGCCACCCACTCCCAGGACGTAGGGTCCACTACGCGGGTAAGTGAATAAACTTATTTAAAATATACTCCCTTTTCTTCTTGCACGAGTTTGTGGGGTCCTCCCTCTCCCCCTCAACTCGCGACAATGTAATTTGTTAAGTTTATGCCTTAAAATGACGCAATTAACTTAAAATTGGTATTTAAAATGATTCTTATAATTAATAAAATTTCTTATAAATAATTTTATCGTAAATAATTAATTCAGTCATTTAGAAATAATTGTTAACTCGAATTCTACATCAACAATCAATTTTTTGAACTTGAGACCTTTTTTCCCTTCTGTTTACCCTGTATTTTTTCTCGAATACAAATTCCCTTTGTTTTCCAAGTTTCCTTACGTTTTCTAGAATGTGGTCACCCTGATGTTGTAGCACCCCTAGTTTAAAAAAATGTACATGATATTGTTCAAGAATTGATTTTTTATAACAAAATTTCATTTCACAAAAAATCATCATTGTATCTTTGCAATGTTAGTATTTTATTGGCAATTTTCAAAAATATGACCAGCATCACTTGTATACTGCTGTGCTACAGGTGCGCCAGAGAAACTTACTTATTTGAAAGGTCAATAAAAACAAAAGTACTTCAGTTATTGTTTTAATTTTTTTTAATTTGAGAATACATATCCCAATTTTTTTTTTTTCATGCAGTCTTGAAATGACTCGGATAAATGGCGACCTCCATTGCGCATACACTGATGAAGTCGATTTTTGAAATTCGTATACAATCTTTGCAGCATATCAATCGGTATGTTGGCAATGGCGTCGCGAATGTTGTTCTGAGGTGGCTATGGTCCGTGTCGATCGACATAAAACAGGGATTTAAATAAAACCCATAAAAAGAAATCGCATGGAGTCAAATCTGGAGAGCGTGCGGTCCACTGGAGATCGCCTCTGAGAGAGATGAGGCGGTCGGGGAATGTTAGTCGCAACAAATTCATTGTGTCTCGTGGCTGTGTGTGCTGTGGCTCCATCTTGCTGAAACGCACGTTCCTAACGTTCATTTCTTCGAGTCTTGAAGAAAAAATTCCTCGATCATGTTCGTGTAACGAGCTCCATTCACGGTAACTGCGCGTTCGTTTTCTTTCAAAAAAATAAGACCAATTATTCCCATTACGACATTCGCACACAGACAGTAACTCGCTCACAATTTAAGTGGCTTCTGGTGAAGCTCATGCGATTTACACCACACCAATAACTGCATGTTTTGCTTGTTGACGCAGCCGAAATGTGGAAGTGTACCCGCCACTGAAAAAAACGACCGCGTCTTCAGGCAGGTTGTCAATCAGTATTTCACATGCATTTTGACGGCAACAAAATCGCGTTCAGTTAATTCTTGCCAACAGCCAGTTTGTAGGGATGAAATGAAGGTCTTCATGCAGAATTCGTCGACAGTGGTGTCAGAAATTCCCATAGCGAGCTGCGTGTTTGCGAGCCGAACGTCGGGGAGAACGCACAAATGACTGCCTCACTCTTTCGATATTTCCGGGGTTCTGATGGTCCTTTGAAGTCAATTTCTGGGTTTAGGCGACACTTCCACACTCCCGAAATGAGTTACCCACGACAGAATCGAATTACGCCAGGAACGAGTCTGTGAGGAGGAATTTCAAAGCGAAAGCGCGAAGGACGTTGGTAGCAACAACGTGAGCACCTTAGAAAGAAGCTCTCGACTGCGAAGGCCCGCTGCTCTCTAGTCCACAGCATGATGGCAACTGACTGGAATGAAAAAAAAAAAATTTGGGAACTTCCCCCTCCAGATACGCCCCCTCTCGCCCCTCCAACCACCCAACTCACCGCGCGGGAATTTTTTCAAATAAGTAAGTTTCTCTGGCGCACCCTGTATATATGAGGAAACAATTTAAAGAAAAACATTGCAGCCATTTTTCAGAAAATAATCATTTAAAAATTGCATATGTTTCATGCAAAATTACACCACATCTATTCAAATTGTCAAAAACTTGAACATGACCTTCTTTTAAAGATATCTTTTAGATACCTTTTTATATACAGACCCTGGCCATATTATTAGACGCACACTAAATTTTCAATAAAAATCACGTTTTTGCGATGAAAAATGTATTTTTTTTTATTTCTCACGAAATACATAATTAATAATTGAATACTTACAATACAAACAAGATATCATAAGCAAAATTATGACTGTCAGTATAATATATAAACTAATTTTCATAAAAAATCTCCATGCACATGTATATCTTTAATACTTTGTCAGGCCACCTTTGGCGGCTATTAGAGCTTTAAATCTTTTTGGCATACTAATTAATGCATGCCTGGAATGTTTCTTGCAACTGTGGATGATGGTATCAGACTTGAATTATTTTCTCAAGGAGGCGAATTTTTGTTATTTCTTCCTTTGCAATTTCCCTCTTCATGAGCTCCCAAACATTTTCTCTTGGGTTGATATCTGTTGAATTTCCTGGCCATGGTAACACAGGATAATTTTTCTCCAATAAAAATGATCGAACTGTTCGAGCAGTATGATCTGAAGCCCCATCTTGCATAAAAGCAAATGATTCTTCATTTGTGAACCATTCCTGTAGTTGAGGCAGCAGTCGTTTCTCCAATACTTGCTTGTACTGGTCTTGTTTCATGATGCCCTTAACCAAGTACAGCCCCGTGCCTTTGCCACTGATCACTGACCAAATCATTGCCTTAACTGGATGTTTCAGTCTGGATGACATAATCTTAATGATATTTTTCACCAGGGTGCCTTCTCACAAATTGATGTTTGTTTGCTAGAATTTCGAAAGTGCATTCGTTGCTAAAACAAACCTGAAATACAAGTAAATGACATTAGAATTAATTTTGGTAGCCATTTATAATTACAAAAAAAGCACTAGACTAAATTTTTACTGATTCCAGAAGTCCAAATCTTTATTCTTAAGGTTCTTAGCCCACGCAAGACGTTTTTCTTTCATACCAGCTGTTAATCTGGGTTTGTGGGCTTGTCTAGAAGCTTTAAAATTCATTTGTAGTAGTGTACGCCTTACTGCCCTTTCAGATACACAGATTCCACTACTTTCCAATTTCAATTTAATTTGTTTAATAGTAGTAAACCGGTTTTCATGGCAAATCTTCCTCAAACATCTCTCAGATCTTGGTGAAAATATTCTCTTCCGTCCACATGTGTTTTTCCTTTGTGGGGATAATTCTTCACCAAGGATAATTTTTTTCTTAATTCGCCGAATAGATGTCTCGGATACGTTCAACCTTCAAGATATCTCACAATTTGAATAATTTTCTGTGTCGCAAAAGCTTTCACTGCTGCGATCATCCGAGGAGACAAATCACTTGCCTTTCCCATTATTTTTATTCAAAACTATTAGTTTTTTGTATACAACAATTCACAATTTTTAAATAAACACGGCTATAACTATTTCACAAACTAATAAATGGAAAATAAACTATCTTCATGCAACAACACACTACTCATGTCACCTCTTGTTCTACTCAACTCTTGTAATTTGTGCGTCTAAGCAACAATGGTACATAATGACAAATAATGTGTTAATTATTAGAAAAAGAAACTTTGTTTTTATTGATTTATTCACAACAATGCTAGATATAATTTTCTGCAGTGAGAGACATCAAAACTTAACATTTTGTTAAAAATGTGTCTAATAATATGGCCAGGGACTGTATTTAGTTTAATGTTTCGATGAACATTTGTCATTTCAAAATGGCAAGTCTTCATATTATTTTGTGTAGAGTGCTACAATTTCTTTATAATTGTATCATTTACTTTAACATCAGAAAGAGGTAATTTATATTATTATATTTCAAAAATAATATTAATAATAGTTTTCTCCTGTATACACTGTAGCCTGAAGATGAGAAAAAAATCCACACCCGAACTGTCATGCAGGTAATTACGGCTTACATAAATTACACTTTTTATAATGTGATTAGGTGGTTTTATTTTAAAAAATGTTATCTGGCACATGTCAATGTGAACTATGTGGCCAAAACCCATTTAATAATACTACATACCAATTTGTTTTATTGCAATTGCTGAGTGCTTCATTGGCAGTTGCCGCCCCCCAAATCTCTGCTAAGCCACAATAAACTTTATTTTATATCACTACTTTACTAGTTCTCTCTAAAAAATAATCCTTTCTTTCATTAAATATAATCCTTTCCTTCGTTCTTAGAAATGATTCACTAAAACTAATTATTTCAGAAAACAAATAGCAATGCTTTTCAACTATATATAATTCATGACAATTGCTCATTAAATAAGAGAGCTACAGAACACACAATGCAAACGAAGTCATTAAACCAAGCAATAAACAATTTTAAAAGCAAATATTAAATTAAAATTTTCATTAAAAAAACTTCAATTCCTACTGCTTAGATGATGACAGAGGCCAAAATTCCGCAATATCATTATTATTTCATCAAACAAATCCTTTCCTTTGTTTCTCCTCCACCACGTAAATTCACATAAATAAGAATCCATCATTGCAGGATGAGTTCTGCATTGAACCTAGATGTGATGATGTGTTAGTCTCCAAGTGCTTTCTATCTTTTGTGTAAGAACACACAGTATATCACGATCAACAAAGTTGTATGTATGATTTCCTGTGTTATGTGGATACCCATCTTCATGTATTTTATGCTATGCTTTCCATTCTTAGAGATAAGAGTCGTTATGGGTCTAATGTATTCTTGAATGATTGGTAACAAAGTAAAACATCTGTTTTTAATTGCTACTAAAAAGTATTCGGAGATTCTATGCATACTCCCCCAAAGACCTACTGTGTGGAAGAAATCTTCCCACGTGATTTTTTCTTCTTTTAAATAAACTCTCACCTATTTCAACTTGTATTAGAACCTCCAATTTTCATAGACTTCAGCAGTAATTTGTCAGTATGCACGCACACTCACAAGTGCACACTCCCTCACACACACATACAAAGTAGTAAGTAACAGAATGAGCATATGACAAAATTAACAATTACAAGAGAAAAACACCAAAACACAATTAACAATAACAAAAGATAAAAACACCAATTATCTGTAGGACTATGCAGCATAAATGCACATGTGGTATACAAATATATATTTATATATATTTTTCAGAAATTTGTTTCTCTCTCAACTGGGAACACAGATCCCTTCTCATCATGTATGGGTATGAAAACACTATTTACTAGGTCCCAGTTATAAGGATTATTTATACAAAAAATTTTCAAAAAATTATTATTTTTAAATTAGTGTTTTTTATTATTATAATATTAGTATTGCCAAAACCTGAATAATTAGTGAATGGGATCAAGTGTGCAACCAAGCTAAGTCATTTAACATGAATACAGAGCAGGTAAGATATGGCATTGAATAGAGAGAACAGGGGGG